AACATTGGGGAAATGTATACTTCCTATTTTAGATCGTCCATATAACATTAGTGATTGTATTCTATGCCTTTTTTGTGCCCATAAAAAGTTGCTCAACATATTTTGCCATTCTTTGATTTGTGTAGCTGTAATGGCCAGAAGGATGGCTCAAAAAAGAAAGTTCGGTAATAAAAAAGTTTTTGCTAAACTATATCTATCTACCCACAATAGGGAGAATTTTTCCCATTTTTGAATTTGTGCCGTAAGTTCTTTGTATGTTTTACTATGGCTGTAAATTAGCAGATCATTCAGATTTGTTGGATATTTATTCGAAGATATGGTAGGTAAATATCTGAAACTGAAATAACATTTTAATATTCCCTTTCTGAGTCTGAGCTAAGTTTATTGGCATGAATTTAGTTTTCATTTGGTTTATTTGCAGACCTGAGACTTCAATGAACTCCTGATAGATATTTTGCGGAAACATTAGTGATTCAACAGGTTTTAAAAGGAATAATAACATATCATTAGCAAATAAGGTAAGTTAGCATTCTTTCTCTCCCATTTCAATCCCTTTGATGTCATTTGCTTTTCTAATCATTGTAGCTAAAGGTTCTATAGCTAACATGAATAGTAATGGTGAGAATGGAGAACCCTGTCTTGCCTCTTTCTAAGGTAACAAAGTTATCAAAGTAAGTACTGTTTATCTTCAAGGAAACTTGTTTTTTTCATAAATAGCAGAGATAACTGATAACAATCTTTTTCCAAATCCCATGTTGGTAAGTAGGACTTTTAAATATGGTATTCTAAATAATCAAATGCTCTCTATATCCAGCAAAACCAAAACCATTTATTTAAAATTTTAGTGAAGTTTAAAATATTAAGAACTTTATGTGTATTGTCTATTAAATCACATCCTGGCACAAAGCCAACTTGATCTGGTAAATATATATTTAGTGATAAAAGTATTTACACATCTTGCTGAACTTGAAGTGAATATTTTAAAATCAACATTTAGTAGGGAGATGGGCCTGTACGAGGAAGGTAATGTTGCATCTCTTTGTGGCTTAGGAATCACTACAACTGTAGTTTGTGACCAAGATAGGGTAATGTGCTTGTTTCTAGTATATGGTTGCACGTATTCACTAAAGGTTCTAGTAAAATAGGAGCAAATGTTTTATAGAAATCTGTAGCAAAGCATCTGGTCCTGGGGATTTATTTTTAAAGCTTTAATTGATTCTAATATTTCTTATTTGGTGAAGGGTTTCTCTAAAAAAATTGTGTGTTTAGCTTTCAGTTTGGGAGGTGGATGTTTTTGAACATATGCCTTAATGTTATTTTGTGGTATTTTATTTAAGGAATATAATTTTAGAGCATTCCATAAATATTTGAGTTATTGTATTATTTTTGGAGTGTAATTTACCAGATTTGTCTTTTATTAGATGTATCATTCTATCTATATGTTTAGAGTTAACACGTTTTGCCAAAAATTTCATCACATTTGGGGAGTTATACCAAAATTTCTTTCGTAAATAGATTAGGTCCTTTTGTATATGAGGCATATTGAGTAGTTCTAGTTTATGTCTTTCAGCAAGTAATTTTTAAATGTTTTTAGAACAATTTTGTTTGTGCCTGTCTTGTCTGCTTGGTTGGTTGGTTCCAGAAAGAAGTTTTGGAAATCAATATACCTCGCAAGATGGGTTTCAAAGCATCCCAGATTATCGTGGGAGCCGCTGTGTTATTTGTATTTTCTTGGATATAATTTTTAATTTGGATTTCCAAATCTGATTTAATTTCTTCAGTTTTTAGTAAAGCTCCATGTAAAATCCAATGTTGTCTTAATTTTGTCCGTTCTTCTTTTAGCATTATACACTCAGCCCACGAGCGGTCTGACCATAATTTATAGCCTATTTGAGATTATATACTTTTTTGTAGAATTCCCGAGGAAATTAATATATATAATTACGTGACTGCGATCTGATGTCTTGTGGAATAGAAAGTATAATCTCTCTCTGTCAGATTATATTGTCTCCAAGCATCTATCAAATGAAATTCAGAGAATAATTTTGATAGTTCAGTAGGATTCCTTCTCTTTTGTGTGTTTTTATTAGGGAATGTCCTGTTCAGGTTCTGATCTGCCAAATATTAAACCTCCGAAGATGACTCCTTCATCCTTAAAGTTTTCCAATTTAAATAGTGTGTCATTTATAAAGTTTATCTGGCCCGTATTGGGTGCATATATTGACCCTATGGTCACTGTTTGATTCTCTACTAGTCCTTTAACAAAAATAAATCTGCCTTGTGAATCTTTTAAAACTGCTAGAGGAGAGGTGAATATTTTTTTGACATTAAAATCACCACACCTCTAGATTTAGAGTTCCCGTGAGCTAAAATCTGATATTGAGACCAATTAGTTTTGAAAATCAGTTTGGTTGAGGATCTGAGATGTTTCTCCTGTAATAGGGAGAACATCAGGATGCAATCTGATTATGTTTGAGTATACCCTTTTCCATTTCACCAAACTGTTAAGACCTCCAGTACTGAAATTATTTTAAGATTCTGAGACATAATAAAAAAAGATAATGAATGATTTTTATGTAAATAAATTCAGTAACTCCTGTATTGCACTTCTAAGCAAAATTATAGTTATAAGAAAGAAAATAGAAAGAAATATCCAAAGACTAATATCCAGTGAACAATTTAGTACATATTGTTAAACTTCATAAGCATCCTAATATATTAATATAGTAACAATAACAATAAATCTCATTCTTTACCCTTGTATCTAAACAGAATAAACATCATTTCTACCTATGTCTAGCCTTAAATATTTTATAGTTATTTTTAATAACAAACCAACACTGTAAAACACTTTAGTTTATATAAAAAAATAAACAAAGCCCTTTTGGCTCCTGTTAATATTTCACAGGAAAGTAGAAACACACATTTCTACCACCCAGTTCCCAGGCTTGATATAAAGGTAGTGTCTTAATACAACTAAGTAAAACTAAGGTTTTTCTCCCCTCTCCCCAGTTTTCATGCTTATATCAATTCTATTAATCAGTAGTTTAACATATGAACTATGAGGGAAGATAGATTGTCCTAAGCGACTCAGAAAGTCTAACCTAAAGAATTATTTACTAACATTATGTGATGGGGAAGGAACAGGAATTTTGCTGCTCTTATGTGGAGTAGAGTTGTCGACTAACTTTCTTTTAGGTACTTTTTTGCCAGTCTCAGGTGGTTCATTTAGTCCCAGACTCTTGAACATTTGTAATCCTGACTCAAGATCTGTCACTTGGTATTCTGATTCCATTCTGGATAACTTGAAGAGTCGCCAGGCCATTCCATCTGCAGTTTTGCTTTACTGATTGCAGCTGATTTATTATTGGCTTCATTTCTTGTCTTCTATGGATAGCCTCTGGAGGTAGATCTGGGAATGTTTTGATTTTAAGATCTTTATAGGTAAAGGCACTTCTTAGCCTAGTCGCTGTCTCGGGGCCCCTTTATGTTTATGTTCACAGCAATCCTAGACAACAGGCTTTGATTATTATCGGAACAACATTGTCTTTCAGGTTCAGTGTTGTTGCCAAACAATTTGCCATAAAAGCTCGCAAATCTGCCACTCCTTTGCTCTGGGAACTCATGAAATTTTATATTGTTCTGTCGTATTTCAGTTTATAGTGGTAAGTAGTTTAATCTGCATTTGTTAATTTTCTATTTGGAAGATTTTCGTTTTGAAGCGTTTCTGCCAGTGTCATGGCACATTCTGCTATTTTTTGCATTTCAGAAATAGAGGATCTTATTTGATTCAATTGCTTTTGGATGGGTTCAAACAGTGATCCAAGTTTAAGCAATAATCGGCTTTCCATCTCATTTTTGAAAAGGAGACGCTCTGCTATTGGTCCTGCATGTTTTCCAACACCATATTCCTGCTGCTGTGGCTCCCATCCCCTGCTTGTCTTTCAGCTTTGTTTTTAGCAAAATAAGAGTTTACTATGCAATTACTCTCTCCTGTTGGTTGGCATCAGTGTTCCCTCTAAACTGAGTTATTGTGAGCTAGCTCACAGGTTTTTAGCCTCTGGCTCACATTTTTGTCTTAGCTCAGAAAGGATGGCTCCAGAGCAAACTAATTTATGCAGTAGCCAAATCGCTCGCTCACAACTTTAATGCCAGTAGCTCACAAAGTAGAATTTTTGCTCACAAGACTCCACAGCTTAGAGGGAGCATTGGTTGCCATTCAATGGTGTCTTCCTTTCCCCAAAAAAATTCTCTTGAGTCATGGTTTAAATATGATAGGGAACAGGGGAGAGGAGCACCGTAGAACTAAACGGCCATTTTATACACACAACACCATGCCCCTCTATGATAATTATTTTCAATGTAACACCTTCCTCAACTCTCTGTGCCACAGCACAACCTCTCCCTTACAAAGGGCAACGTCAGCTGTTAAAATTGTGGATCATCCTTTTGACACTTCCCAGATTAGTAATTCTAGAGAGGCGGCCCTGTTAGTCCATTGCAGCAAAATAAAACAGCACTTAAAAGATTTACGAAACATACTCCAGTATAAGCTTTCATGAGTCAGAGCTCCTTATTGCACCACTTATTTTTACTTCTCATGTTAGAGGAGGAAGACAGAAAAGGAGAAAAGGAGAAAAGGAACAGATGTACAGAAAGCAAAAACAAGATGTGTCATACAGGTCTTACAATTTTTCCTTAACTTCAATCAGGTATTTACGCCCCCTCTCCCCTTTTCCCTCAGTGAACACAGGAAAGAGGTGGGATTTGGGGGTTTTAAGCAAAACGCACACTTTAAAAACTGAAATAAAAGCATATCCAGACGTGCACTAGTGATAATTTTAAAATGTAGGGGAGTCCCCCGCCCCTAAAAGGCTGCAACGCCGCACACGGAGTGACGTAACAGGACAGCAGCACGTGGCAGCACTTCGCAGCCGCGGGAGGGGGGCCCGCTTACGTCACACACAGCTGATAATGGACAGCGAAGATTTGACCGTTACCTGGAAACCGCCACTGTCGCCACGAGTGACTCTCTCCCCCCTACTACCCCCGCAGCCATGCACAGGGCACCTGCGGGTCTCCATGCCCCATGGTGGCGGAGGAGGTTCCGGCTCCGGCCGGACTCGTTCCACTTCCGTACCATGTAACAATCTCCTCAACGCGGCCGCCATTAGCGGCTCCTCGGACTCTCTCCTCGCTACCGCCTCCCCCTAGGAGCACAACACGCATGCGCGAACAATGTTCCGCTATATCCAATTGGTACTGTAGGCATTCCCCCTTACCCTCATTTCTATCATCGGTTTTCCAAACCAATGGGCAACTACCTATAATAACCCGGATGTAAGGAGTCCGAGAAATGCGCCGCTTCTTGCCGACGTCCCCCGTTGTTTTTGACGTTCATCGGTAACGCCCGCCAGTCATGCGAAGAACCCAATCAAAACACACCTTCTCTGTCAACTGGTAACCCTTGAATCGCTGGAGCGAAATGAGTTGGGTTATAATTCCAGGATAGACGCGAAGCAAAATTACACAGGAGTCCCGTAGAACCTTAAAGACTATCCCAATTTATTTCAGAGCTAACTTCTTCAGATCCACAGAACTTTACATCCCTTTGGCCTAGTTAAATATCCATAAGGGGTGGGTGGGTTATAGAGGTTTTTCTAGGTAGGCACACAAGCGGGAGAATTTTTTTCTCACTGAGACTCAAGGCAGATTACACAGTATAAATCATGCAATCAATAGAATTGAGTCATCTAATGATCAAGGTAACATGACAATTTTTTTAAAACCCACACAAATAGAAAACTAACACCGAATGGTTCCTGATTTTCCTTTTGACCCAACCATTCCAAAATGCAATCCTCTCCTCTTGCAAGAGCCAGCCTGAAATGGCACAATCCATTCCTCTAGCTGAGGTCCCCACCTCACTTTCATGCATGCTTAAAGCAAGCCTGAGTTTGTTTTATATATAAGGAGACACCTGCAAATATAGCATGCACTCCTAAAAAAACAGATTTTTCCTTTGCAAGGACATAAATCTGTCTTGTATCAACTGAACTGGGAGTTGCTATAGGTCTCACAAACAGCCCATGAGGTGGTCTGCCTCATTTCAGACTTCCTGTGTAGGGCTTTCATGGTGGAATACACCTCCATAAAGGAAAAAAGGTTTTCACACAGAATGAGCATACAGGGGAGAGGCAGAGACTAGAATCATTCTCCCAATATGCTTGTTTCATTCAATTACTTACATTTCTAGCCCAATTTCCAACCAGATGAACTTCCAAATATAAGAAGAGCCCTGCTGGATCAGACCAATAAATAGCCCACTTGGTCTAGCATCCTGCCTCACACAGTGGCCAACCAGTTTCTCTGGACCACCACCAACAGCATAGAGGCTGAGGCCTTCCCCTGATGGGCCTCCTGGCTCTGGGATGCAGGGGATTAGTGCCTCTGAATGTGGAGGTTCCCCTCAGTTACCATGGCTAGTAGCCATTGATAGATTTATCCTCCGTAAATCTATCTAATCCCCTTTTAAAACTGTTTATGCCTGTGGCCATCACTACATCCTCTGGCAGTGAATTTGGGTTACAATTCAAAACCATAATAATATTCAATTCAAATAACATTGCTGTTCAAAACAACTGGCAGAGCTGTGTCTTATTGAGGGATTAGCAGAGTTTTTGCTTTTGGAGATGGCTTTCTTGGATGGCTGATGTGATATGTTGGAAATGGAGATCAGAGGACAGCCAGTACGGTTGGGCTAGGACTTGGAAGACCCCAGTTTCAATTGTTCCTACACTATGGATGCTCGCTGGGTGACCTTGGGCCAGTCACACCCCTCAACCTACCTCATAGGTTTTTGGGAGAATAAATGGGGAAGGGAGAATGATGTATATTGGCCTGAGATAAAGTGTGAGATAAAAAGCATGGAATAAACGATTTAAGGATGTACTTTTATTCCAACCCACAGTATTCAGGTCTCTTTCTCTTTTCAGGTATTCTTCTGACCAGCTGCTGCAACTATAAAGTAAGTAAATAAAATAAGTATTTCTGTTCTTTCTACATCCCCATGTATTTTTTTACTTCTTTTAGCACTCAAGTCAAACTGCTCACAGGTGGCTCTGCAGACTTCCTGGTCGCTCTCCCTCCTGATGGTAGTTGTGGGAGTGGAGGGACACTGTTAAGTAAAATCTTCTCCCAAAACCTCTTGCTAACCTGTTACAGGTCCTCCTGGAAATATTTTTTAAATCTGGAGATACCCTCACCCCGCCCCCCCAGTCTGAAGTGGTACAGTCCAGGCAGAGAACTTCTTTCCTGCTTGTGAGGCCAGAGACCATCTGCACAGTCCACCTTTCCAGATCTACTTCCAATCTGTTTCTCTAGTTGCTGAGTAATGGATTCTCTTGCCATCCTTTTCTGAAGTCCCAGTTAATTTAAAATTTCCTGGTACAGAATGTGCTCCAATCCTCTTATTGCTAGGGTTAACTTTTCTGAGACTTTTCCAGTGCTATATCATTGTTAGAGTCTAACACTGCAATCCTGGAGTAACAGGACGCTGAAGTAACTTTGCACAGGATTGCACTGGGGGTGTGTGTTAACCAGAACTGTATACAATAGTCTAGCAGTGCAATCCTAAGAACATTTTTCCTAGCAGCAAGCTTCACTGAAGAGACCCAAGTAGAATTCTTTGTAGACCTGCTTAAGATGGCACTGTACATGTGGCTGTGCTGCACTTTACCAGCACCCACGAGTCCAGGCTTGAGATGGGTTCACAGGTGTGTTTTACAAGTTTGCTCCAGACCCCCATAAACTACGCTTGGGGCCCAGTCACGATAGTGTCGGTTCCATTTCTAACCCAATGGAACTTGCCTCCCCTCTCAATTATGGCTACTCCCGCACATCCTTCGATAATATTGCATCACCGGACCGATTCGCAGATGCATGTCTAAGAAGGGAAATCCAGCGATGTCCCATCGCAACGACAGCTCGAGAGCCTACGCTGTGTGGATGCAAACGCATATTTACTTGTGAGCAAAAGACACGCACCAAACTCGGGGGGTGGGGTAACTTCCAAAAGTTAACCCGTCCGGGCTCGGCTTGTTAGTGTCTCCGAACTCCGTGGGGCTGACTCTTAAGTAAGCATGCGCTCAGAAGAACTCTGGGACGCTTCAGCCGCGCACGGGATGCGGCGCGCAGCGGTGCGCAGCGCGTTTCCTCCAGCTTGAGCCAAGCCACCACCGCCGTGCCCGGGGCGCGCTCCTCTCTCCGCAGCAGATGAAAATCAGCTTTGATTTC